GAAAACGAGGCATCCGCTGCTTTCGGGGCAACACCAACAACGCGGCTTCGGTCGCGATACAGGCACGGGCGGAGGCTGCAACGCCGACACCACCAAAAGTCGCATCCAACGCCCTCAGAGCACGGCAGTTGGTAGCCGAGAGCCTGAGGCAATACGCAAACACCTCACCGAGGCCGCGATGACGATGCCGGCGTCCGTCTCGGACTCCCCCTTCTCGGTCACCACCAGCACCTGGTCGCGCACCATCTTCAGGCTGTCCTCCGTCAACTAAGGACAGAAACAAACCAACGTGTTGACAGACGAGAGAACGGTAGTAGCGTGAAAAACGGTAATGAGAACTGATGGAATATGTAGGTACCAAATTACGAGCAAAATGGTGCACACGTAGTACGAAAAGCGTACCACTCTTGTGACAATTAAGACAACCTGTCACGGGGCTGCGACTGCTGTTGATGATGTATGATGACACCAACACCTCGTGTGCTTCCGCGTAGATTACGCTGCCGTTGGATGGAAAATAGAAGAGCGCAACAAACAAAGTTCTTCGGGATGTGCGCGTAGGGATGTGCCGAAATTGGTTGCCACGGCTTTCCAACAATAAGGAAAGGACACCACACAGATCGATCATCGACCTATACACCATTGGGCCGGTGACGCAGAATACCTCTGCGCTGCATGCCTTTAATCCCATCACTCTTTCCGACGACCCAAGCCTGTTCAAGATCACTTCGGCTACTCCAACGTAACCCTCTCTGGGAGGCGTATACGACTGCGTACTCCTTTTGGGTCATCAAGTCTCCCCGCCTGCTCTGGGTCTGAACATGCCATGCCGGGATCAGAGACGATTTGACGTCACGACACTCCTGTAGCGCCACAAACAACAACACTTGCGATACGCCTGCGCTCGTATCGCCCGGTCCTACAGGCCTCACCAAGCCTGCTGCTCACCTCTGGCCCCCTGTACACCAGTACGAGGTCGTCATCCATGATGAACATGTGGTCCTCCCCGCAGTACTTGACCTACCACCAGCAAACCGAGCAAGCGGCATGGGCCACACACGAACGTGATACCGCTATTCAACAACCCACAACCACACGGGACGGTCCTGAGACAGAGGCATACATACATGGAAAATGGCTGCGGGATGGTCATTCACCAATCGTTCTGTTTAGGAGTATCGAAGATCTCGAATTTTGCGCGTTCTACCGAACTACCAGGTATTCGTACGACATACGCAGTTGAAATGTCTAGTGTGTGCATCGTAGGAAATGAAGTAAAACGACAAAACAAAGGGGGAGGGAACAAGTGGCTCGAACGGTCGGAGCAACGCGGTCAACGAGCCGCATCTCCAGATGCCTCGTGCCTTTTCGCGTTGCATTGCGTGGCTAAAGTGATACGATGCGCGAAAACCGGGGTTCCTTTTACGTCGTACGAGCAGAACCCCGCGTGCAACCAGCCGGTCCACCTGGACAAGTTCACGTTTTCTGGTGTGACGGGAATCCTCTCGTACCTCTTTCACCAATCCATGACTGCCGTCTTCCCCGCCCTCTTTCTTGGAGACTCAAGATGGGTTGACTGCACTTCACCGCGAGCGACGTGCTGGTAGACATCCCGGCCGCCGAACCGCCTCCATACCCATGGTTTTTTCGCTACATGCAGCGAGCGTTACTAGCACCGTGCCCTACCGCCTTACCCCTCTCCACCAACGACACGCACTACACACAGAGGATCCACCCTGCAGGAAACCGTCGCGACCCGTGCGTACATCAACTCTCCGCGTCAGCCCCCCCTCTCACCTTCCGACCGCTCCACCTCGAGAACAGAACGGTGTCCCCCTCCGACACGCACATGGGGATCAGCGTTCCCGTCAAAGGGTGCGTTCTTCCGGGACCGTGGGCGACCACCAAACCTTCGCACGGTACGTCTTGCGCCTAGAAACACCGCGGGTGGGCACCGGAGGGGGGGGGGGGGGGGGGGGG